CCACTTCTTGATTCTTGACACTAATTCCTGAGCAACTGGTGTCTGATTTAGAAAGTCCTTTCCTACACCTATATCTTGCAGGTTACTGCCAATATTTTCTTCTAATAGTTTCAGGGTTTCCAGCTTCACATTGAGGTCTTTGATCCATTTGGAGTTGACTTTTGTGCAAGGTGAAAGATAAGGATCTAGTTTCATTCTTCCACAGGTGGTGATCCAGTTTTGCCAGCACCATTTGTTGAAGATGCTGTCTTTCCTCCATTGTGTGTTCTTGGCACCTATGCCAAATATCAGGTGGCTGAAACTGTGTGTCCTCAGGTGTGTACTCTGGTTTGAATCTGCAATGATGTTCCATTAATCCATGTGTTTATATTTGTGCAAGTACCATGCTGCTTTTATGACTATAGCTCTGTAGTATACTTTGAGATCTGGTATAGTAAACTCCCCAGTGTTGCTCTTTGTGCTCAGGGTTGCTTTGGCTATCCAGGATCTTTTGTGCTTCCATATGAATTTAAGGATGTTTTTTCTAATTCTGTGAAGTAGGTTAAGGGGGTTTTCATTGGGATTGCATTGAATCTATATATTGCTTTTGGTAGGATGGTCATTTTTACAATATTAATTCTTCCAGTCCATGAGCATGGGAGGTCCTTCCATCTCCTGGTGTCTTCCTCAATCGATTTCTTTAATGATTTAAAAATTTCATTGTAGAGATCTTTGGTGTCTTTGGGCAGATTTGTTTCAAGATATTCTATTTATTTATTTTTTGCAGCAATTGTGAACAAGAGTCTTTTCCTGCATTTTTTCTCCAATTGGTTATTATTGGTTTATAGAAAGGCTACTGATTTCTGTAGACTGATTTTATAACCTACCACTATTCTGAAAGTGCTGATCAGTTCTAGTAGTTTTCTGGTAGAACTTTTGGGATCTCTTAGGTATAATATCATATCATCTGCAAAAAGGGATAGTTTGACCTCTTCTTTTCCAATTAGTACTCCTTTAATTTCCTTCTCCTGTCTTATTGCTCTAGCAAGAGTTTCAAGCACTATGTTGAAAAGGAGTGGAGATAGTGGACATCCTTGTCTGGTTCCTGATTTTAATGGGAATGCTTCCAGTTTTTCTCTATTTAGAATGATGTTGGCTGTGGGTTTGTTGTATATCGCTTTAATTACGTTGAGGTATGTTCCCTCCAGTCCAGTTCCCTCTAGGCCTTTGAACATACATGCATACTGAATTTTGTCAAAAGCTTTTTCTGCATCTATTGAGATGACAATGTGGTGTTTGACTTTGAGTCCTTT